TTCCCCCAGATACAGTTTCATGCTGTCCTTCTTGGTCTATACATGGCAATCTTCCGCGGCTGGCGGATGGCGCAGGGGTGTCGAGAGAAATGCCCTGCCTCCTCGACGGTCGGCCGTCGGGCCAGAACAACGCCACCCCCCTCGCCGCGCCACGGCAGAAGGAACCCCCTTGCCCCCCAAACTCAAAGTTGGCACGCGCGGGGGGGGGCTGCGGCCGAGGCGCAACTCATCAGACCCACCGCCGGTTTTGAACATTGGGGGGAGGGGGAGGCGTTGACAGATGAATGTGGCATGAGTGTTGGCTTTTTTTTTCCGAGGCCGGTACCATTGGGCCGTCCTGGCGCTCTCCCTCGCGCCCCCGCTGCCGCCCAAAATTCCGGCCCCCCCCCCGCCCCCGGGCAATGCAAGTCCTAGGCGCGGAGCGATTCGATGGCTCATCGCATCGCGCGCGGGCGAGGCTAGAGCCACGCGCTGCGGTGAAATATCGCGTTCGTGCCCCCTGCTAATCTAGCCCGTGAGGATATCAACTCATTACATGTATGTACACGCGTCTATATGTCTATACTATATATATACACACATATATATATATATACAGTGGCGCTGGTTAAGGGCGCAACTGCAAGCGGCCCATTTCTGAACTTTTCTCGTTGGCGCCAGCAGGGCGCGCGGGGTTGGCGAGGGCGCGCTTGCCGCGCGCGGCCGCAAACGAGGGCGTTTCAACCCCGTCAACTTTCAATCTGCTTGGTGCGACCCACAGCCGCTCTCAGACGTCGGCAGCCCGTCTGCCGCCCATCGGCCACGCGTCGGCCACTCATCGGAAACTCGGCCACGCGTCGGCCACTCGCCGGCCACTTGTCGGCCGCCTGTCGGGCGCGCGACGCGAGTCGCGGTGGTTCGGGGCGGTCCAGGGCGGGCCGTCGGCCCCGTCCATCGGCCAATCGCCCGGCGCGCGCGTCGGGCTGAAATGGCGGGGCCCGTCGCGCGCCGACGTGCTCCGCGCGGGGCGCGCGCGCCGTCGCGAGGCCTGCGCGCCTCGCCGAACGCCCCGCAATTGGCGCGCGCAGGGCCCAGCCATGTCCGACGGCGCACCTGCGGCGCAAGTGGTTTTTGCGTTGGCGCGCAAGGCGAAGTGGCCGCGCCAGTCGCTCCATCACTCCAGCCGCCGTTCGGGCCCCTATGCCCCTTCATGCCCCCCATGCCCCCCTCGCATCACATGTGAAAGGGCAACGTGATCAGGGGCGCATTGGAACCCAGCGACGCGTTCAACGCGTCACCGAGTAGCCCCAGAGACAAGATGGCTCGAACATTCAAGAAAGCTCGGCCCAGATGGGAGCGGAGCCCGACGGCCCCCATGCGGGGCAAGGATTGCGACGAGCGTTCAACTCGAGGAGGCCCCAGCCCATAAAAGATGGGAACTGCCAGACGACGCAGCGAAGCACCTAGTCGTCAGTAGAATTGTGCGAGCTACATAGGAACCATGTGTAATCCTCTTTCTTTGAACGCCCTGCAGGCGCCTCACACTGGGCCGCGGCACCGTCGAAGAGCACGTCGCGGCGCGCAGGAGCGCGGACGGATGACGGGGAACTGCTCTGCCCTAACCGAAAGCAAGTTGCAGAAGAAGAGGAAGCTCGCACTGCAGTGCCCGCCAGGCCCATGATCGACAGCCCCCTTACCAGTAGGGCCCTCAGCAAAAAGCGCCAAGGACAGCATCGACGCGTAGAGTTAATCGCGGTGGCAGAACGAAGAGATCAAAGGTATTCATAGACCAATTTTGCAACGCTACATTACAAGGGCCGGTGAAAAGCATGACGGCGGACGACCGATTAGAGCGTTCCGTCTGGTCGCGTTGCCCAGGAATGACAGTCGTGAGCCAGGTGGGAAATTGCAAGTAACCAGGTTAGTTGCGGGCAGAAAAGTGGACATGGGCCTGCGTTAATTTGGCCCAGAGAAGGCACGGCGCACCTCGCGCAGCGCCACCAGAGGAGTTCAGCGCCACTATGGAGCTCAAGCCCGCGCAGAGTTAGTCGGGGCATTGACCGCGGCCAACTCGTCGAGGACAAGGGGGGCAGCGAGACCGAGGGCAGGAGCGAGGGAGAGAGTTCAGCGGCGGAGCTCGCAATGCGGTCGCTAGCTTCGCCTACCAGGTTACGCGGGACATCCAGCCCCAGAATTGGACCCGCGGCACCCGTCAACGCCGGGGGCGAGCGAGGGCCCCACGGACACGCGAGGCGCATGGAAACATTGCAGAGGCGCGCCCAATTACCAAGGGGGCCATATTCGCAGCTCATTGCGACGATGGCGAGGCACGGGCCCGGGACGACGCGAGAGGGGATGGGCTCTGCCCAGAACTCACGTTAAAGCGTAGACATACGGGGCCCATTAGAAAGCAGAGGCGGATGCATATTGGGCCGTTACCGGCAGAGCCCCCACATGAGCAGGGTGGACCGATAGCAACAAAGGCGACGCGGCCAATGCCCAGTGCCGACCCCGCCTGGCGGCCCAGCATTTCAAGTACAACCCCGAAGACGTGCACATATGCGCAGCCACGTCTCGCTGGAAGCCCACGCGCTGCTATTCCCCACGGCCGTCGCCGATGGACTCGGGCATGCACGGCGCGGTCAAGCATTCCACATCGAGCTCACGCGCGCCAGTCGCCCATACGTCCACGCCAAGGCGAAGGAGAACATCTTCATCGGGTCACCCGAAGAAAATCATGATCCAGGCTCGCGTGGTAGGCAGTCAATGCGCGGCATCACGAACGCCGCCAGCAGCTGGGAGGGCGGTTACATGGACTTCGCGCGCGACGTCGGGCTTGACAACGGAAAAGCGTCACCATGTGCGCTTATACACAAAATGGCCAAGCGAACTGGGCGCACGGCTCATGGAGATGATTTGATTTTGCCGGGATGATCTGGATTGGCCCGCAGGAGACATTGCCGGACAGTGCGATTTGAAAACCGGGGCCAACCCGGACCAGGACTGGAAGATTTAGAGTCCAGCAGGATGTTCGACCCGATTGGAACGGAACCGAGACGGGCCATGGCACGAGGTGTTTGGAACAGTGCAAGGGGCGACGTGAAGCGCGGGAGAATGATTACCACGCGAAGAAGGAGGTGAGGAGCCAATGCGAAACCACAAAGCTCAGACGCACCAGGCTTCAGTGATCAGGGCAAAGTACATTGCGGAAAAGAGCTTCCCCGACCCAGTCGGCACCCACTCGGGGGGCGTGGAAAAGTCTTGCCAAGTTAGGTAGATACTTCAAGAACCAAGAACGACCTAGGGAGTTAACTGCATGGACAGACACCGAATGTGCAAGGTGCAAGAGGACACGTAAATTATCAGTGGGGGAACAGTTATGCGAGAACCACATGCGATAAAGTCGCGGGATTTTGACCCAGAGCGCAGTGGCATTATATTTTCGAGAAGCAGAATATTTCGGAATGGTTGGAGGCGCCTTAGACAAATGAAGATTTCACGCAGTTCTCACGGACTTCGAGATTGATTGTGGCACCTCGTTAAGGAAGGGTACAAGTGCAGGAGTTGTCATTGCGGGCAGGCACGACTCGGTAAATGTCAGACATATCGAAGTACCCCAGTTTTGATGAAAATATAAAATGCGACGAGGATACATAAAAGTGATACATAAGAACCCATGAGAGCCTTGCATGTGGCATGGTAAATATGTACGAGAAGAGACGGCATGCTCATGCATACGAAAAGCACGAAACAACTTCTTGAGGTTGGAAGGCATGAGCTAGCACCAGCTACAGTGTGTTAGCCCAACTTATATTCGGGTTATGTTGGCAAGCCGTTTCGCCGGTGATTTGAGCTCAGGGCCAGTTGAAGCTCAGGTGCGCGCCGTCGCGAGTTCAAACCTACACGACATATGATGTTATAAACAGGTTGCATGCTTTGGTGCTTTGGTACAAGCAAAGTACAATATTACACCTGGGAAAACCCAACCGATGGATGATCTGAGAATTTGCCATCTGGATATTGGGGTCGATTGCGAGATCGAAAATGAGATCGGTAATGGAATGGATAGAGGACGATTGTAAGGTCGATCGTGAGACCGAGAGTGAAATCGGTTCAATGAGATCAATAGGGAGATCGCTCGTGCGATCTCTAGTGAGATCGTTTGCGAGATCGACTGTGAGATCGATGGTGAGACCGACCGATAAGAAGATCGACCAGAACCCCGGGAACCTTGCAACCTCGCCGCCCACCGAAATCGGCCCGCGAAACGGGAATTTGGGAACCCGGAGCCGGGAACTTGGGAACCCAGCGTGCGATCAAAATCGTCGGGGATGGTTCGGCAAATCTTTCAACTGCCACTAGGACCTCGTCAGTGCAAGCACTGATTGGGGAATATCTCGCGTCACGAAGCCCATGCACGTTTACGCCCAAATCATGGTGGTTTTCTGCTTGCACCAATTATGTTTTAAGCCGCAGATCTGAATCACACCTCACTCACGCTACTGATTTCATACAGGTTTGCTATCCGCCGTGCGTCTTATGGTATCGCTGTCACGTTTGTACCTCTGGCGCGATTGACGGCCATGCGGTCGAGGGGAGGTACAACAATAAAATGATCCCACGCCTGGAGGAGTTACCAACGCAGCGCAGTCGATATAGCAGTGCAGTCAGACGGACGCCCGCCGGAGTTGATAATCCGTCGGGGGAGGGGGGGTCCAGTGGTCCGGCGGCCCCTGGCTCAAGCCCAATGTGCCTCCAGCGAGAAACCCTTTTACGATAATATCAGGAGGAGGGGGAAAGGGAAGAAGAGGAGGAGGAGAAGGAGGAAAAGGGGGAGAAATGAGGAAGGGAGCAGGAGGAGGAAGATGTGGACCCCTCTGCTCTCCCAGGCCCCGCAGACCCCGCTCGGGCGGCGGCGGCGGCGGCGACGACGACATGGGCGGACGGCGGCTGGGGCGACAACAACGCCAACGACAGCGTCAACGACAGCGGCGGCCGCCGCAGCCGCGCGGCCGCCGCAGGAACGCCGCAGCAGCGGGCGCTCGCCGATACGGCGAGCGGGAGGCCATCCGCCGCAGCCCGCCGCCGCCAGCCGTCGTCGTCGTCGCCGTCGCCAGGGAGTCGTCGTCGTCGTCGTCGTCGCCGCCGTCGGCAGACAATCGCCATCGCGGTCGTGGCCGTCGTGACCGTCTTCGAGCAGTCGTCGAGCAGTCGTCGTCGGACAGCTTTCGTCGTCGTCGTCGGGCAGTCGTTGTTTGTGTCGCCGTCGGGTTAAGAAGGGAGGAAAGGGACGGGGAGGTTCTGCTCTGTGTTACGGTGTGGCAGCGGTCTTTGTTTTTGTTTCCGGGAGTGTGGAGAATTTGAAGCGGGGGCGGGAGTAGGACGACACGGAGGAGATGGATTCGGATTCGGAACGATTGCGAAGCAATATTATACCGAGCATGCGACGCCCCCACTGACCTTGAAGACGCACAGGACGACAAGGCAACCGAAGCGCCCGAACAGGAGGAACAACTTCACGAATACTGCATGCCACCACTGTGAAAACCGTAGCCCCCACTGACAGCAATGCAAATACTGCCGCCGAGCGATAGGAAGGTGACATATCACAACCCACCACTTCGAAACTGAAACTTAAGAAAGGCCTTCACTATATGGGTTAGATGGCTAACCGCATGTCCCTCGGCACTTTCCGCACGGGAAATTGACCACCTGCACGTATTGATGAATTGAGAGAAGCACCAACAGTAAGTAAAGGAAGCAAAACGTACCGCCTGTCGAGGTGAACCGCCGCACTATCCCAATAGTACCGCCTAATTAAGCCCACACAGCAAAACCGCATGCGTACACCACCCAGGCCCACAGTTGGAGAACCCTTGAACGCGTACAAATTGAAACCCATACTTGAGATGCCGACAAGAGACCATGCCACCAGCGCTGTGCACGCCTGAAAAAAGCCTCCGGACAACACCTCCCGCATCTGACAGAGTAAATACACCCCCCGTGCGGTGATGGGAGAAATTGAGCCATGCTTAGCAAAAGCACATATAAGCGTGAGCAATGTTATGGCAGGGAAAATACAGCCCAACATAAATTGAGTATGAAGCACCACCAGAAGGATATGAAAGCAAACCCAACTTGAATGAATAAAACGGCCACTAAGCCCCTGCGGCATGCGACTAGGAATAAAGCCCCTCGCACTCCGACCGACAGGGAGGGCAGAATACTTCCTACCAGCTGTTTGCAATACAACCCCAAATTTGATTGATAGAAACGGCCACTCAACCCCTGCGGCATGCGACTAGGCAAAAAGCCCCTTGCACTCCAACCGTCAGGGAGGGCGGAATATACCAGCCAAAAGTGCGACGCTGAAAGCCGTACAGACCACCACGAATATTGCCCACAACAACTGCTGTTTTCAATGTCCGATTTGCCCGTCTTCGCCACCGCGAACGTCCGACAAACGAGTGCCAACGGCGCGGTGCCCCCAAGCGCTACGTGGAAGCGGCGGGCGTGGCGACGAGGGACGACGGTAGCCAAAATGCTACGGACAGCACTCGAGCCACATGAGCTTGAGCCAAATGGCTACGGAGACACGGAGGAGATGGAAGAGGAGGAAAACGAGGGGGATCAGGATGTCGAGGAGTAGGGGGTGGAGGACGAGGGGGGGAAAAATGACTTGTGCTTTGTCTGTGCTGCTGCTACTGCTCCTCACCCTTCTTCGGAGTGGGAGGTGGATGGAGAACGAGGACGAGGACGAGAAGGAGGGAGAGGGGATGAGGACAAGCTTAACGCGCCCGCGCGTATCTGACATCCCATCCCTCCCATCAATCCCTTCCCATTGCGCTGATTTGTTTGAATCCGCGGACGCGTCTCATAGCGGACATTGAACTCCCAAAAAAGACCTCACGGAAAAGTGCAATCTGGCATGGGAATCTGCTACATAGAAAACGGGAGGTGGATGATGAGCCGGAAGAAAAAGAGGAGGAGGAGGAGGAGGAGGAGGAGGAGGAGGAATCCGTAGTCATTTTGGCTCAATTCCGTAGTGTTTGCTCAGGGACTAGAGTTTTTTGGCAACGGCATCCGCGGCCCCAACAGCTCATTTCGCTGAGATTGTATTGAGTTTTCAGCCCCAACAGCCTTTGCGTACCCACTACGACGTGTCTTGCACCCTCTTCCGTTGGTGCGCGATGGCGGTCTGGCAGCAGACCTGGTGTTGTCCGAACAAGCTTTGCGGTTTCAAGTTCAATTGTGAGTGGCGCAGCCGTTGCCTCCGCTGCAACACCGCGAAGGTTGGCCCCAGCAGTCGTGAGGTTCAACCCCGCGATGCCTGGGCGAGCGGTGCCCCGCCATCTGTCAGAGATCCCAAGCCTATAGTCCCCCGCCGCTTTCTGACCAGCAGGTTCGCGCGCACGTTGCCATGGACCCTGCCGCGTACGAGGCGATCGTGTGAACCCTCAGTCAGTTTTCGAGGGATCGCATCCAACACCAGCGTAGCTTCCTCTCTGGTGACCCGCACCTCATTTCGCGTGTGGCCCAGAAGGTGAGTGATCACCTCACGGACAAGTTTGGCAAAGCTCAGAAGGAGCACGACAAGGCCGTGCAGAACCTCACCGGGACGGCGCGCTGGGCAGCAGAGGTCGGCGCTGAGCTCGAGGACCTCCAGCAGCAGCAGCAGAAGGAGGCAGCTGACTGCGTTGCGGCAGCCCTTGCCAGCTAGGAGGCGCCGCAGCGGCGTCAGGCACGCCGACCAGTTCTGGCGCCAAGTGCGCCCACCTGCTCCAGCGGGCCAGGCAGCTCGAAACTGTCGGGTTCGAGGCCCAAACGAGTTCGAGCGGGCCCAGCAGGAGCTGCAGTCGAAGGCCGCGCAGGCACCAGGAACCCAGCCGCCCGCGGGAGGCGCCCTTGCAGGCGCTGCGGTTGGCTTACCCTCGGAGGGAGGTTTGGCGGCAGGGGGTGCCATGGACAGGCCGCGCCGCATCCGGCAGTTTTGCCAGATGAAGCTACTGATGATGAGCGCGCTCGTTTCTGAGCATGCAGGAACGAGGCCGAGTTGCTCGAGGCTTTTTGCTAGTGCAGTTGGGGAAGACTACGACATGGAGTTGGGCGACGGAGCAATTGGAACTGTCAAGCATCGTGCCATGCAGCTTGTCGGACAGGCGATCAAGATGCTCTGCACCAGCCCCTTTTTTACATGCACCTGAGACACTGTAGTAGCTGGTCGCACAGGTCGCTCACCTTTTCTCGCGGCGAACGTCACCAGCACGCTTGGGCTCGAGGTGCTCATGCAGCCCAGTAAATGGTCAAGTTGTGGTTTGGACTTTTGTCCCGGAACATAAAAGTGCCGCAGCGGCAGCGTAATGGCCCAGAGCAAGCTTCGCGCAAGTGTGGATGAAAAGTTTCTGTCAGCCCTGCGCTGCGTGAGAATCCACAAGGAGATCATACAAACGGCAGTTTGGCGGGTCACTCAGGGGCGCCACGGTTGCCACGCCAGCCAGGCATGGTCTAAGTTTAGTTGGAAGCATCAGCAGTTGTGTCTGCCCTGCACGATCCTCACTGTTGCACCTTGGGCACGGGCCCAAAGGAGTGCCCCTGCGGGCACGATGCACCTGCACGATTCCGAGGACCTTAGTGAGCGCAATTGGCAAATCCTCTGTTCCATCAGGCGCGAAGGCCTCCCCGTCGTCATCAGCGCGGATTGGCACGTCACGCCCGAGGAGAACATCGAAAGCGGCTGGGTCGCGGGCCTCGGGGGCGTCGTTGCGGCGCCGAAGGTTGGAACAGTCAGGCCGTCTGAGCGGGTCATCGACTACTTTGTCATGTCCCGCGTCTCGCGGCTGGCGCCCAGGTCGAGGCGCTCCACGGCGTAGCCATCAGCCCGCGTCGCCCTGTCCTAGTCAGGTTGAAAGCGCCGCGGCGGCCGCCAGAAGTTCGCGCTGCCATTCAACCTCGCATGTTCCCAGTCGCAGTTCCAGTCGGTTGTCACGGGCGTTCTGCCGTGCCAAACTGGGGGCAGATGAGAGGTGTCACGCGGCAGCCTCAGGCCGCAGCCGATCGAGCCCGGGCGGCCTTTGCTCCCTCGGCTGAGGACACATGGACCCACGTTTTTGACGTCGAGCCCAAGCAAGACGGCGAGCTCCGAGGTCAAGGTGCAGAGCCCCAGGCGAAGACGCCGCGCCCTCCTCGACCGCGCTCCGCACCGCATCCGCAGCTCAGCGCAGGAGCTGCCCAGTGGAAAAGGGATGGCGCCGGCCTTCCTGGAACTCCAGAAATCTCGCGGGCTGCCTGGGCGACGTCGCCCGCCGACGTCGCCCGCGCTCAGATTGCCGCTCAGCCCAGGCGCCCAGGCAGCGCCAGCCAGCCGGCAGCTGCGCCGGGATCGCGCCCCAACGTTTCCCCTTTCTTTCCTTTCCCGAGAACATGGTTTTGAAAGCCCGTCGCAGAGCCAGGCCGACGCCGCAGCCGGTGCCAGTCGGCCAGCCAACGAAAGGGGGCGGGAGGCCGGGGCGGATATACGCAGCAACGCGAAGGGCGCCTCTCTCCGATTCCCGACAGCGCCAACTGGAAGGGCCCCAGACGGCGCAACAGTTAATCGCGCGCCGTTGGGCGCGGCGGAGCAAATAGAAGGTTTGTTTGCGCGCTGAGCGGGGAACCTGGCCGTGCGTCTCTGAGCCGCACCCGCCCATCGAGTGGCCAAGCCTTCCCCTCATTGAGCCCCCCTCTCGCGCCACTGTCCCAGAGTTCACCGGGGTGCTCGAGAGTTACAAGCCCAACGCGGGGCAAAGCCATATGCGCGCGAATCCAAGACATGTTTTGCCGCTGGGCCCCGAAGGGCGCGACGCCCTCTGCGAGTTGCATTTGATTGGGCCGAAGTCAGGGCGGCCCAGGGCGCGGGTGCGAGTTTTTCCTTTCGCCAAACGCGCAGGGCGCTTTCGGCCGACGGCTCCCCTGCCGGCCCCCGCGAGGGCCATGCGTCGCCCCGGGGAATCCGAGATCCACGAGTGGCAGCGAAGAGATTTTAGAAGCTTTTCCCGGGGAACCCGCGGCGCGGCCGCGGATGAGCG